CATGCGTCTCATTTTGTAATCAAGTCCAGCCAGGCTCTAGCTCGCCATGATACCTAATCTTAACGATGATTTTAGACATCAAATGTAGACTTATCGTGTACAATCCATAAAACAGCGAGATAAAAAGTTATCGCGGCTACACCAGAATACAACCATTGCGCAGTTTGGAATAAGGTTCATAATGTATTGTTTTTCCTCCCAGGGCTACCTGTGGCTGCGGGTAGGGCTGCACCTGTTCCTGGGCTTCATCGTGGCGCTGCTGTTCTTCCAGATGGGCTACGACGCCTCCAAGACCATCTTCAACTTCGGCTTCTGCTACGCCTGCATCATCGCCATGCTGTACATCCCTATGATGCCTGTTCTGTTGGCGTGTAAGTTGGAAACGATATCTATATGTCATCGCTTTAATTTAACCAAGTCGCTTATTCGCATAGTAGTTTAAATAATATTATGCGGCGGACTAGGTAATGAGTCCTAACAAGGTTGTAAAATATGTTTATAGTGAGAGTAGTATGTTCAAAGTATACAAAGAATAAACCACATGAAAAAAGTCATAAGTTGGGATAGTTGTCGTTCAAAAACACTTGAATTTGATGGTTAGTTTCTCAATCTTTCCATCAAAATCAAATCAAAATCAAAATCAAAAATATTTATTCAGTTTAGACCACAAGTGGCACTTATGAACATCGTCAACAAGCCGTTAAGCTAATTCCCAGGGTCATGTAGGTAGTGTTTTCTTAATCTAAATAAAATGGTTTTAAATTTGAAAGCTTACCTAGCTATTGTCTATCAACAAAATACCACTAGACTCACGATACGCTCATGTCCAATTTCAGTTCCCAAAGAAGTACAACTAGTGAAGCGAGAGTATTTCAACCGGTGGTACGGGCTGAAGCCTTACTACGCGGCGCTGGTGGTCTCCCGGACACCAGCCACCATATTCTTCAGCCTCATCTACCTGGGGATCACGTATCCCCTCACCTCGCAACCCATGGAACTGCCCAGGGTGTTGATGTTCACCGCGATTTGCATCATGGTGGCTTTAATATCCGAGTCGATGGGCACCGTGATATCGTCAATGTTGAGTGTTGTTGTAAGTATGAAAACCAATAGTTTATGTAACTAGTAGTTTGTACTCGTAGATATAGCCACGATAGCCGAACGGTGAAGGGGTCGGAGTGGCCGACTCGAGATCCGAGGAACGCGGGTTCGAATCCCACCGCCGCTCGACTATTGTGGTGAGCCCACTCATAACACAAGCTTATTTAGCTTACCACGAGGGGCTAACGGGACTATTGGTAATTTGGGCAATACAAATTGCTAATAATCTTTTAAAAAAAAGATTGATCCACCATTGGTGTTTCGTACCGAATACAAAGACTTGATTTTAGAAATACCTGAAGGCAATAAGAAAAGATTCCACGACCCTTTAAAAAAAGGATTTCTATGTCATCGTATTTTTCTTGTAAAATAGCCCGTATTAAAACAAGATTAGATGCCACCGTGTTTAGATTGATTTTTACTGTCGTCGTGCGTAATGTATGTAAGTAGGTATAACCAAATAAAAATAGTACAGCTAATTATAAAAAAATCTTTTGTAGTACTTACGTAGTTCTTTGATCCAGGCACCAAGCGGTAAACGACACCAAAATTGCCAAAATTATTGCACAAACATAACTAAACACACGATTACACAATAAAATAAAAGATACATTTTAAATTAACGTACTTACGGACAAAAATGATCGTCCTTCGCGACGCGGACGCCCCGATGACAACTAAAGCACAGATTACGAAAACTAAAGATTAACGAGCATTCCACATTCAAATGTGGGTAGTTGTGCGACCACAGATTAAAGAGTGTGTGAACTTTCTTGAAGATCTAAAGGTGGCGCCTCAGATCATAGAAAGGGATTCTATGATCTGAGGGTGGCGCTGACTTGATAATGTTTTCTTCGGTGCTTCGTGTATTGGACTACATTTTTGTTTGTACTGTTTGTTATGTTTTTTTAGCTTGTTGTAATGTAGTAGTAACTTATGCATGAATTTACCAAAAAAGTAGGACATTGCTTTAAGCTAGTAGTGTACCAATGATACCCATAGTGTAGGCGGCACTATCAAGGCTATCAGTGACTTTATCTGACAGATAAGTTCCTGATAAGAGCGAATAGCTATCAGGTACTTTACCAGTGAACCATCCCTCAAAAGTTGTGGTTTAACTGTCAGATAAATTATCAGGCACTTATCAGCGACTTTGTTTTTAGAACTCCGTGTTCCTGGGCCCTGCGCTGAGCGTGCCTCTCATGCTGCTTGCGGTGTACGGCATCGGCTACGGCGACGTGCCTCCGCCTATAGTGTGGAAGCTGGCTCGCTCGTGCTCGTTTCTGCGGTACGGCATCGAAGGGCTGGTGGCGGCCATCTACGGCCCGCCGAGGGAGGATCTGATATGCCCGGACCATGTGGACTACTGCGAGTACAAGAATGTAAAGTAAGTAGTTAATAATGTAGCCAAGTAGATAGTTTGGTAAGACTTTTCCTCTGCACATAGCCTCTTGATAAAAATATGGTGAGATTTTTTATGCTAATGAATTAAAAAGTCTTAGGTAACTCACGATGAGTCTAGATGTGTAAGTAATATAGCGAGACGAAAATAATTCAAGTATGTAGGTATGTATTAGTTTTAGAGACGTGCAATTTGCTCTCATCAAGCTATTGATGGAGATGTATCTGTTAGTTTGCTTACACATTGAGTAATTTTCATAGCTGGTTAGATGGAGCTGGGAATTCATGTGATAGTTAAGTATAACTTAATATTAATTTTGTGATAATCTTGTTACAGTTATTTCATCAAACTAATGGGTATGTCTGGCGTGTCCTTCTGGGCGGACTTCGGCGTGCTGACGCTGATGTTGCTCGGTATGAACCTGGCCGGCTACTACCTGCTACGGCAGCGCCTGTCGCCCAACTACGCCTTCAGGGCCATCAAGGTCATCGGCAGCTTCATCAAGACGAAGATGAGCGGGAGCTACCACTGATGTACAGACCATCATTTCAGCTATAGGACGTCCACTGCTGAACATAGGCCTCGCCAAATGATTTCCATGTTGATCAATTGGTATCGGCCTGCGTCCAGCGCCTTCTTGCTACCTTTATGATGTCGGTCCACCTTGTGGGTGGACGTCCCACGCTGCGTTTTTCATACAGATAGTACGTCAAGCTAAAGACGGTAGCATCTATTCACTTAGTAATAGAGGAGATTTTTCAACAACAAAGTAGTCTGTTGACTGTACCTTATTCTTAACACCTTCACTGTCCACAAGACACAATAGGACTAAAAATAAGGTGTGAATTTTAATGTGTAATACATGGACTGTAAACCTACCCAGTTAATATGCAATAGCAATCCTGTAGATTCTAATAAAGAAGACTATGAAAAGCTTAAGACACGTCTGGATCTTTCTATAAGTTTAGAATAAGTACACTTATTAGTTAGATGAGCAAGCTCAATATTCTAGTACTTGATTCGGTTTCCAGATAAGTGTGATATTTGTACTTTAATTTCTGTAATATTTAAAATTGTTTTAAGTAGTATGTTTAAGGGAATCAAAATGGTGATAGCTCGCGGCGCGAGTGTAGCTGTATGTAATTTAAGACTGATATTTGATGAATATTTTGAGAATTTGCCTATTAAATCAAGAACACTAGAATTTGAATTTATTTAACAAGTCAATTCGTTAAGAAAAAATGTAGACCAAAAAGTTCATAAAAATACCTGTTTTAGAACCGTTTGTACAAAATGTATTAGGCATCACAATAATAAATAGAACTTATCATCACAATTTTATCTTTATGTTTAGAACAATACATTATAACTTTATAAAGCAATAAAAATGGTTTCTGTAACTAACTTAATACTCTTTGTAAATTATTATATTTTAAGATTAATTTACTTTTGTAATGTGTGAGAATTGTCTGTCAGGGTTATGGGAACATAATGAGCGAGATGCAAAAAATAAACTCTTTTGCTCGTCAACTCTTCTTTTATTTACCAAATGTTTATCTCACTAAATAAATCACACATTTGATATACAATATAAAAACACAATTGATACAGTAAAGTATTCCAACAAAATACGACTAGGATAGTCACGTTGTGATTCTCAAACAACTCACAATATAAAATTTAAAACAAAAAAAAAAGCAGATCGATTTAATCCAGATTCAACCCCCTTAATTCATCCACTGTGTGTTCTAAGTGCTACACTAAAGTGCACTTTAAAGTTTACAAACGTACGATAGTAGATATTAACGATAGTTGTAAGTATTCATAAGACCCATAAGTACGCAATTATACTTATTCTAGAATATTATGTACATAAACAAGTAATCATATTGTCTATTACTTTTAAGGAATGTTCTAGCGCTAACAAAACATAAAAGTATGTTAGTAAAAATGCTACAAATAAAATGGATCTCATGTGTGATTATCATCAAATAGGAATAAGAATAAAATATATAAGCGTGTCCTTAATTTACAGACTGAATGATTTCAGATGTTGATAATCTTATAAAAATGAGTTTATCAGCATTAATAACTAAAAAAACGGCCAAGTGCGAGTCGGGCTCGCGCACAAAGGGTTCCGTAGCAGCAAATATAATAAACTTATTATGTCAATTTATACACCTGGTGAATGGAGCCTAAACTCTCCCGATATTTTGCCTTGTACTTTTATGTATGAATATTAATTTTATATATGTATTTATAAATATTCCGTGCTATAGGCGTAGGGCTATAGACCNATTTGATGAGGAATTGCCAATCTGAATTTTAAAGATTTAGTAAGCCTTAACCCAACTAGTATAAAGAATGAAATAACATTGATAAAAGTAAAACAAAATATAAAACAATGGAAATTATAAAATTATGATGTCAATAATTATACAAAGTAATGATTCTAATACTTTTGGCGAAGCGTTACATAAACATAATGTCTTAAAACAATGAGTATTTATAATAAGCTATTAAAAATAAACATTTAAAAATAAAATCAAATACGCATAATTTCTATCTAGGCCTTTTTAAAAGGAAGTTATCTTATTATCTTACATTTTTATAAATTGAAAATCCTTAACACGTTACATTCTATTCGAGAAACAATTTTGTGACGATCACTTGTACTATAAGGCGAATTTGTTAAACGATACGAGGCTAATGGTTGAATGACTATATGAATATAAAGAATGTATTAAAGAAAGGATTTGTAAAACTGTAAAATAAAATAACCCCGATGAAGTGCAAATAAAGACGTTAATTAATACCGATCAAATTGTAAAAATAAACTTGTCAAGGTCCATTTATAATTTGACAATCATGCGAGTTAAAATGCGCCTTAAATATTTTTCAACGTCGCCAGCGCTATATTGAGACCTTAAACGATTGATTTCCGTATACTGATTTTGAAGTACAAAATCCACTAAAAAACTTTTGATATTGTGGTAAGTAGTGTGCTTTCGATGAAACTTGTAAATGAAATAAAAATTTAATACTCATTAGTAAGATGAAATGCGAATCAGATTGAATATTTAGGTAATCTTAAAATCATAGGTTTAATAGGACGTTTAGTAGGTAGTGAACTATTTTTAATACTAACTAAAATTATTTCTACTTTGTGAGCGCCCTTTAGCTGCGATACGATGTCTTTAACCTACATAATCCACATTCCACGTTCCCGGCACTTATAGTGAAGTACAATTAGAATACCCTAAACATAACTAATGGTAACTATATTTTAGAATCTATTTCATCTTAATTATTAGTGATATTATTCACATTTTAAGTTTTCGAAACAAATAAATATTTAAAAAATAATTTGTAATTAACATCACCAAAATTGATAAAATAACAAATAATAAATACGCAATTATTTTATTTTCACTCAAATGGAATGTTGATGTTTGCTATAATTTTAATAAAGAAAATATTTACAAGATAGTTTGGCACCTACGTAAGGAAGGATTTGTTGAAGACGGTGCCACGCTACTAACAAAACGAATAAGTACATACCAATTCGAGATTTTCGTTAAAGCGAAAAGTCTTTTTTGTGACTAAACCCTAGACAGTAATTGAGTAGTTAGAACCTCCATTTATATAATCCTACCTTTGTAAACTCAGTCAACACCCTAGCTATCATGGATGCTATTCCAGATTATATACAAACTGTAATACGGCTGAAGTGCATCAAACGGGTATTAGATCCATGATAGCTTAACAAATAGGAATTAAGAATTATCTCGTCTAAACTAGCTATGAGATTTTATCCATAATATTTCAATATTCGCACACGGACAATTGGAAACCAATTACCGGTTGCTCAATCGTCGATACAATACGGAATGGTCACACAGCACACGATACAGGGGCCATGAATAGGCTAGTTTCCTAAAAAATTTTTTTTAGTCCGTTATGTTTAATATCAAAATATATTGGACACCTATATTTATATTTGTCAATCTAACAAATAATTACATAGTTATGGTGCGTTGAAGTTCCGCGCGACGTCACAAAGTGCGGCACTTTTATGCACTCATTGATGTCACGGGCCTCTTATTATGAACTTTGCCGCGCTTTACTCTTTAAATTTTCATTAGTTTGAAAAAGTGAAAAATACGTGTAGAGTATTTTTTGACAAGTAAACTGTCGGACTAATTAAAACTCTTGCTTTTTGACCCAGGAAACATCCCTATTATCACACAGAGCTTCGCACGGCTTTGACATCTCATCGGCTATGTGACCTTAATCGACCTTGAGGTTAAGATCCCCTATCGTCTATCAGATCAGGCACTTAGAAATTGAAATGCTGGCTGAGTTTTTCCTCGTCGCACTGGTCAATGTATAGCGAGGGTCTGTCTGAGTCTAGACAGGCGTTGAGTTTGGCATGCCTGAGGAGACGGCCCTTCCTTCTCCATAGCTGGGTGTCGTCTGCTGGGTCGCAAGAAGCTAGTACGGCCGTGACGCGGTCATCAGGCGATAGTGCGATGCAGAGGCTGTGGTGACGTAGTAAACCGTTCTCGAAACGCCAGAGTTGGTTCCCGCCGGAGTTGTGGCAGGGGTACATGCCTGAAAAGTGTTTTTGGTGCTGTCAGGTTTTTTTTAATCTTTATTGCACACATAAAAAAACAGTGGTACAACAGGCGAGCTTAATGCCATGTGGCATTCTCTTCCAGCTAACCAGAAAATTAAACAAAAAAAGAAAATTAAATTAAATTAAAGGTTGTTATACAACGTGCTCTTTTTGATTTCCTGGAACTCTAGGGTATTAATAAGACCACTTCAAAAAATGGAATGGCTTTACATTTTTTGTTAAATTCAACAATTTTACACTTATTTTTTCATACGAAATTATTTAAAAACTTAATTTTCTTCTAAAAAAATTGTATCTTCTAAACCTAGAATCCACAATAGTATCTTCAAAAATATGCTTTTAGAAACACATATTCCTAAGACTATTTAACTAGTTTTTATTTATAGAATATAAGTACCCCTAAAATTTCCAGAAAACAAAAGGAGCACGTTGTATGATTTGTCTTTAATCAAAGGTTCAAGTCTAAGAGAGCGGATCATTGTCTGGACCAGTTTTTGGTGGAATTCACTTTCATAAGAAGCTTTTATCAGCAAAACACTTTGATCGTTTTTCGACTCCTTTGTCAAATAATTTACAAAAGTGCCTAATACCTATCTGTATTTGGTTAACACTTATGCACCTATCGCCCGTATTTACAAACATTACTACGAGGTATCTCAGGCACACACAGGATGACACACAAACCAATCACAGAGCACTATTTAACGCTGTGCGTTCGATTTGCTGCTTCACTTAAGCAAGCATCGTTTGTGAACGGGCGTATATCTGTTTCAGTTCCAAATATTTATTTCTATGGATTGTGAATCAGTTATCAAGAAGTGTCACCAGAAGGAAACAGGCCCTCGATATTTAGGGTCGACTTCAGTACGGCTAGCACGAAAAACTTTCGAGTTCGAATAGTTTGCGTACTCGAATCGCCGTCAAAAGATTTAGTACGAAAACTACAACAGCGCCCTTGTGAACGTGTCGTAAAGTGAACTTAGTATGAGAAATGGTTGAACGAAACTTATTTTGGAATTAAAATTGTCACGTTATCGTTTAATTCGAAGGTTGAATATCGAATTTTGTCGAATACGCAAACGATTCGAAGTCGGAAGTTGTTCATGCTAGAGTTACTGCATACTTACCAAGGGTCCCATCAATGAGGTGCCCCATGGTGTCCAGGCAGCGGTTGCCCTGGGTGATGGCGTGGTAGCTGCCGTCGAAGGTGGGCACCTGCAGCTCGGGATACACGTGCTCCAGGTACCAGCTGAAAGGCTTGCAGTGTAACTTCTGGCGGAGCGTCACGCGCTCTGAAATGCTGGACAGAAACAATTGGTTAATTCGTTGATTAATATCAGTAGGTAGACCGTAGGTAGCAGGAAAGCGCTGGACGCAGGATCAATCAAACTCATTGGACCCGCAACGAAATTAAGCAGAAGAACATAGGAGGAGTTCAAAGTTAAGGTTCGTTGCGGGTCCAATGACAGTTTAACTTTCCCCCGGGACAAACTCCACCTTCACAGGTTAGGTTTTTATTGGCGGTCAAGCTGTAGATACTGGCTACACATTAGTTGCAGCAGTAGGAACGAGAGATGGGAATAGTCCCGTAGATAGGAAGAACACACTTTTATCGTACACCACACAAGACAAGTCAAGAAAGAGAAAGAAATATACAAATGTTACGGTACAATTTAGGCGGTCTTTTATCACTATATTAAAGCGATCTCTTCCAGACAACCTAGCTAGAGGACCGGTAATTAGAAGAAACATTTTTTTAACCTAATTATAACATTATTTTATATTCGAAAATCTATTGGTTGAGGCTCAGTTCAAAGTTATCCGTTACCCATAATAAAAACAATCTAGACTGTGACTAGATGACGCCGTAAAAATATCCTTTTTTCTTTCTTCTTTCTTTTCAGCCAAATGACGTCCACTGCTGGACAAAGGCCTCCCCCAAGGTTTTCCACAATAATATCCTAAGATAATCTTATTTACCTCAAATAATGCTCAAATACCTGTTATGCATAAAAAAATATTTATCTCAAAGAAAGTCTATACTTACTCTCCAAACTCCACCTGCTTAGCAAGCGGCTGCGACCGGTAATACAGTTCCTTGTAGTCGTCCATCCAGACCTCGGCCGCCCGCCTGGTGTTCCTGGCGAAGACCGCCCCCGACCCTCCCGGGAACGTGTAGGGGTGGCGCTTGCGGAACACGTGGCCCACCCGGGAACACGGGACGATTTCAAGAGAGCCACCGCACTGCCATACCCTGGAATCGTTGATTTGATATAAAGTTAGTGTCAGGGTTAATATTGTGATTGTATTTACATAAAGTTCTACGGAAGACAGATTTCATAATATCTTACTTTTGCTGTTTACATGCTAACGAAACGATATAATTCAAAGACTCTTGTTACATGCTTACTTTAGGTATAACATTACATAATTCACATAAATCTAGGAAAATAAATTTTAAGTTGTTATGACGTCACGTTTATAATACCTATCAACTAATCTTCTTCAGTCTTTGACTGCTGCTTAATTTACAACTTTTTCGTTTTTAACAATATTCTGTCAGTACCTATTTCCTAAGATTGGATCAGTTTTTTTAAGGAGCTGTAAAATTCTGGCTACACAGGAGTTGCGCTGCAATGCAGCGGTGGGATTATGAGGTGAGAATAGTCGCCTTAGTGGGCTCAGTAATCTAAAATATTAGTAACCAGTGCAATAGCCAATATTCTTACCTGAAAGATATCTCCAGGTTCTCGCCGCCCCAGACGTCCATCCGCATGTCGTACTTGCCGAGCTTGGCGAAGTACTGACGGTCCATGCTGAACAGGCCCCCCGCGATCATTGGCGTCCGGATGACCTGCGTCGGGTCATTGAGACGAGCGCTGCGCTCCGCATGTGATAGGTACTCCCACTGGAAGATTTAGAAGATTGGGATAGTCGTCACATCAGGTCATTTTAGTCCAATGGAGGACGTACAAAATGTACATTATACCAACCAGATTGACCTGGGGTTTGCGTGACAGGTCGCGGGTAGGGTTCACCCTCACATTACAAACAATTTGTGCATGAATAGTCAATATTTTTGGTGGGTTTTTTGGGGTGGTCTATGTACGCACAATATGGCATTCGACCGGCCAATTTGGAAATCATTGAGTGAGGCGTTCAGCAAGGGCGACTCAGCAGTAGAGCTAAAATTATAAAAAAAAACATTGTTAACTCCACTCACAAGACGCCTCAGGAGGAGTTGAAGCCACGACCTTACGGACGTTAATTTTGCTCTTTTGATTCTACCAGGCAAGTACTCACCTTGAACACCAAGTTCCAGTCGAAGCCTCCGCGAAGGTCAGCTGACGCGCCGATGTACTGGAAGGTGTCCATGCTGATGACGTCGATGACGGGGCACACCACGCGCGTTGGGTCCTGGGGACAAGGAGAATGACTGTCAACGACGTAACAGATAGGGACAACAAACAGTTAGTACTTAGGTACAGTCAAGTTTTCCACTGTTGATGAAACCCTTGTGTAGGTTTTGAGAATACCTGACTAGTGTATTCAAGACCAGGACTTGAATACCAAGATACATTAACCACAACGGAGAAGCTCTTGGCGTACCTACATCGAAAGTGATTATAGGCCAAAGTGGAAGCAATTCCTTCATTTATTGCAAACATGCTACGGGACATTGTTTACGACAGTGACCGTAGTTTTTTATTCAAAAGTACATTTGCTACACCAAGATATAGGTACATAGATCCAACAATACGATCAAAGACGTAATAAGCAAGCCCAAAAGTATCAGTGGATTGCTTTGGGATTGGAATAATCTTGATTGACATTTGAACCAAACAATTTAGCGATTGCAGAAGTTAATTATCCAAAATCATCCATACAGTCCGAGAGCGTCCGAGTTACGTTGGAATTACAACACCGCAAGTACCTACTGTGATCTGGTAGTAGCGGTTGCATCACTAGACGTTCTAAATCAAACCCTGACCGGAATACTGAAGACTGAATATCCTAGGCCAGGGTTTCCCAAACTATGGTGTCTACTCACGGACATTGCCCGCGGGCGGCGTGACCGGAGGGAGCGGCGAGCGTTCGGCGAACGAACGAGCAATGTTCGGTTCGCGAGCGAACATCTAAGAAGACGATCCTGACGCACTCTCTTCAACGACTTTGCACAAAACGGTCTCGATAACATTGTTAATTTATACCGAATAGACAACTAATTGTATACAGTCCACTCTTTCATTTTATTAACTTCCACTACACTCACTATCGAAGTAACATATGGTGGTGGGTCGCGAGCGAACATTGAGTGGGCCCTGCCTGATAGAACGACACACCACTACAGATCCGAGTCCTTTATTTACGCATATTGGTAACGGTTAAATTTCCATAGGTGGGTCCCGAGTTTGGGAACTTGTATTAGATGAGTCGTAGCCCAGACAACTTTGGGAACCATTGTCCTAGGCAATGTAAAAGACATAGAAATGGCATAGGCTATTAAAAAATCATCAACATAAAGTACACTTCGTTGGAAATATACAAAAGTTGCCCAAGCCCATGCATCTAGATGATTTAATAAGGCCACTGTTGTTGAGCTGTCGTTTACCTCAGTAACCAAAATGCAAACTGAATCATTTATTACTGAGTTTCTGTGACATTTTCGTTCACTAACACCTATAAATTCTTCAGGCATAAAACGTCAAAGGTCAGAAAGTCGTACCACTCGCTAAAATATAGCTTATGAAATAATGTACAAGCATTTAGTAATCGCAAAAGGAACATAAATTTTAGAACTGCAGACTGTAATTAAAATCCCNATTAATGGTGTGAGTTTAATAAACATTTAACGACTCAGTAAATTATTTAATTGTGATGAAAAGAAATAATGTGTTTTCAAAGTGTGATTCTAAAACTGCATACATACTGGGCAAATGTTTTTTGGCATTTTCATAAAGGAATATTCACACACGTAGAACATTTTTTTTAACGTTGCTTTGAAAGAGCGCGGTTCTTCCTAGCACAAGCTAATTCTATTGCTTAGTAGGAAGTTCTGTACTAAGTTAACGACTTGAAATGTATTTGTATGTTTGGAATTGGGTGTGTTGCTCTCATTTACATATCTATTCTCAGTATTCAAATGCAGCCCTTTCGCACAGTTACCGAGCCTACCACGATTGCATTCTAATGCATTCCAACTGAGCATGCTCGCACGTACGATTCCGGGAAGATAAGGTGGCCAACCATGACCGGTGGGCCTTTGTGCTTTAGTCGTTAACCAGACAGCTAATCAAGGTAAACACGTGCATCTTATGTAGTTGTATTAGATGCTATTTTCCAACAAAAAATATAAGGTTGATGTGTTGATGGCTGTACTAAAGATTTATTTTGCTTCATTGCTACAAAATGTGACAGAACAAAACTTGGCGGCGCACTGTGCCAGACGAGGCGAAGAAGATCGGCAAGACTTGGAGCGAGATCAAACGCGAAGCTCAAGACCGAACGCGATGGAGGACTGTTGTGGATGCCCTCTGCCCAATCTAGGGGACATAGTACCTTAAGTCAAGTAAGTCTACAAAATGTAGAGTCTCATGATGTGCTATCGACTCTAGTAAAGTTCTACATTGAATTTTCTTCAGTTTTATGTCTGTTAACTGTAAAAATACAAAGAGAAATAGCATCTATTATGCAACAAAAAAATAAAATACCAAAATATTATTATGACAAGTTTATTTTGTTCAAGTTCAGTCGATATTAATTTCGAACACAAAATGGATATTGAGTTTATTGTTATTAGGAAAACTTTTGTTGTTCAGCGTTTTGTCAGTAAATATAACCATTNCCTACTAACCATTTTGATATTCAAAATAATTTTAATAATAAATAGATTATTTGATATTATGTTCTCTGGAATCAAAGATTTTGAGCATATTTTTTTCAGAGATATGTTTTTTCAGCAAACATATTCAACCATTTTATACCAAAAGGCTTATTTTATTTCAGAGAATTGAATCTAGAATAAAAAAAGCGTTGGGTACATAAAAGCGTTCGGTATCATAAAAGCTTGGGCACGTTTTTAAATTCAATAGTATTACATATTTTCATAGGTCTTTTTGAATATTCAGATATTTTCTCGTTAGTTTTATTTTATGTACTCGTATTCCATTTGGTTAGTTCAATGAAACGTCAGGTAATTTATTTAATTTTTTTAGCATTAGTTTTTTAGACGGCTATTTAAAGGCATTGTACCTCGTTTGGTCACGATACTAATGAAACGATTCTCTAGTATCTTAACGTCAATTCGTGTGTGATAAACAATAGGTAACTTCAAAATGGTGACTGTCTCGAAGCGAATTCGTCATGCGACTCGAGTGCGAGACAAATCGGTCATTCGATGATATCGACTCGGCTTCGGTACTTTGGACAACTTTGGATGCTGGCAGCACAGTGACTGACGCTATTTATATTTTGAATTAAAATTAGAACGTTCGAATTCGAATTTCAAACAAACTTTCCAAGATTTTGATTGATTAAAATGGCAATTAGAAGTGAAGATTTTAACTGGATAGCTACATCTGCCATATAGATGTCAATTTTCTAAATTAAATTATTAATTAAAAACCTGGTTTCTCAATAGCAATGTTTAAAGTATTAATCCACACAATTTAAGAGTAAGTACACGCAATGTATGCCATTTAAAGGGGTTTAACATTCACTTTTAAAATCTTCTTTTTTAACTTTTTAATGCTGGTTTCAAGTTATCGTTAAAATGAGGTTTCATTCCTTGTCTTTTTTCAGTGTAGCGGTTGCCACAACTTGATGGCCTTTCTTCGCTCGCAGTGGAGACGATCCGAATGTTCTAGTCCCCTCTCACATGAGCCAAGGCCACGGCTGTTACGCGAATGTCACGGACGTCATGTGGCGTATGTTATCAGCTAGATATTGCCTTGATCTTCTCGTAGGTAATGCATTATGTTAGTTTAGTTGACTATTTGCATTATGTTTGTTGACTCTATGTTTTTATGTTTTTTAGCACCAGTTGAGTCGCTGAGCAGTGTGTGTGCACTTATGATTCATGATTTAGAACTAAGTGTTGTAGATAAAGCTTTGTCCAGTGAAATCTTAGAAATAAATTAGGCGATTATTACACTGCGCCGCGCTCCGCCGCGGTACGCGGGACGACAGATTTAATCATTGTATGCAAGTACCTCAGAAAACACGCGCGCGCGCGGCACAACACACTGACAATGCGTCTGCGCGCGGGATTTTTTATATGAAATTACGCGGAGCGCGGCGCAGTGTGATAATCGCCTAAATCTAGCCTTTTTAACACAGCCGATTTGTAGCATACCTACCTATTTAAGTAAAGTACAGTTAAGCCCGTCAGTTAAGACGTAATGGTGGCTTATAAAGTGTGATAACCAACGTTGTTGTTAAAGCTTTAATAAAGGGATTAAGTTTGTACTACGAGTATTCCTATCTCCCAATCGTCATATCTATGAGAACTAAGTACAAAGACAAGTCCGATGATAAATTTTTGACATATCAAATATGTTACCTCGTAAAGCACTTCGAAAATTCTAGATCTCCTAGGTGCCTCATTCCGACCATCAAGGTCATGGCCCCAACATCCAAGTGGTTACAAAATAAATGTCACGGATGGACCGGCTCGCCGCCGGTTCGTCATCGGCATTAATCTTAGCCAAATTAGAACTAGAATTTCAAGTTATGGAGAAGCTTTTATTAGGATGAACAGGATTTTTAAAAAGGACACAATTTAGATAATGAAAAATGCATTTTTGGTGATATAGATAACATTGATTTGCTGTCAATTGTCGTAAAATTTTATTGAAACACATCAGATCCTACAATTTTGTTGCAATAAGTACTAAAGTGTTTCAAAAGACGCCACTGGATGCCACAGTGTTCACTTTGAAGTATTTACTAATAGAGTACTTCAGAGCAAGTAAGCAAATTTTTATGTCATTAATTTTAACCAGAAGATAAATCTTAATAAGATCAGTTCAAAATAACATTCCAAACTATTTATGTCATCTTCATTTACCCGTTGATGCGCGGTCAGTCGGTTACGCAACGCGCAATAGCATCGTATCTGTGGCATCTGCGCCCGCGCACTGACGGCGCAAATCATGCGATTGCATCTAATTCTTATACAAGCACTGCGGGTCTATAAGTATAAAGCTTTGAAATAAAATACGTTTCATCTTTGTCCGCCGTGGGGCATTTTCTCATATTAAAGTTCCCAATGTCCTTTAAGTAATTGTACTGTTTCTACTATTTTCAGTCTTTTGTCTATAATTGTAGCATGAGGTTTAAATTAGTAAGATTTCTGCAAAAACAGTGGACGTCTTATGGGTGAAATGATGATGATGATGAAAAAGATTGCTTACCTG